GATATGTGATGGTATGCCTGCTTGATTAGGTTGACTCGATTGTTACGTGATTGCTTCGTTGCTTTTGTGTGTAGCTGATGTGACTCTGATTCAACATTCTTCATATTCACATGCACAGATCCCCACACTCTCTCGTTTGGTGTACTCGCTTTCCTCGGTCGTCCTGGCTGGTGTGTCGTGTCGTCCCTCTCTCTCTCTCAGCCCTGCTCATCTCAACCGAGGACACACACAGCGATGTGTGCGTGTGTGCGTGTACATGCGTGTGCGTCGCCATCAACCACGCCGACAGCGACACGATGCACGAGGTGAGGGCACGCAATGCTGTGTGTGTTTGGTGGAAGAGGTTGAGGGGAAGTGGGGGAGGAAGGCGTTCATCATGGCCGTCATCACCACCACGGCTGTGCCCCTTGTCATGTGACCGTGCATTTGGGGGATGGAGATGAGGGGAGAGATGTTGTCGTTGTGGTTGTGGTGGTTGTGTTTTGCATTGTTGTGCATGCGTGTGCATGGTGCATCGTCTCACTCTGCAATGCCATGTCTGACTCTGTGTGTGTGTGTGTGTGACTGCAGATGTGCGTGCGTGTGCGCATATGTCAGGCAGATGCGTTGATCGACGACGAGGTGTGTGTGTGTGTGTGTGTGATTGGGGTTGACCTTTGTGTCCTTGTGCCATCACATACAACGCACAACACCAAGCACACATCATCACCATTGCACGCCCATGTGTTGTTGTTGTCCACTCATGCATGGCATGCTCACATCCACCGCCCTTCCCTTGCTTCTTCTCCTTCTTCCTCCTCCCTGCTGCTGCCACCCCTTCCACTGTTTCCCTCCACCCCCTTTTCACACGCACAGAGAGGAACCCATCCACATCCAACACCCATGCCCAAACCCACATCCACGCATGGACACGCCATGGCGAGCTGTGCCACCTCAACCAACCTAACTCAACCAAGGCCAAGGAAGAGGATGGAGGGAAAGCAAGGACAGAAGACGTTATGCTCCCAACAGATGTGTGTTTGTGTGTGTTGATGGACGGTGTCCTCCTTCCCCCCCTCTATCGCCTCGTCTATTGCTTCCATGGCAATCTGGCTAGGTGGCTGTTGCCCCCTCCCTTTGTTTGTTTTCTCTTCCAGCCCTTTGTGGCTGTTGGTTGTTTGTTGTGACTGTGAGGAGGAGGGAGGAGGAAGCGAAGAAGAGAGGAGAGGAGAGAAGAGGAGGGGATGCATGCTGTGCACAGCTGTGTGTGTGTGTGTGTGTGTGTGTGTTTGTTTCTTCTTCTTTTCCATCCCCCTTTCTTCTCCCCTTCTCCCTGCCCTTCCTCAGCCTGCAAGGCCTGTGAGCCTGCGTTGCATTCACACACCACAGTGCTGTCCCCCCTCCTTCTTCTTCTGCTTCTTCTTCTTCTTGTCTCATTGAAACCAACCAAGCAACCAACCAAGCCAAGCAAGCAAGTCCGCCCTTCAACAAGCAAAAGCAAAAGCAAACAGCGGTTGCAGCACAAACGCAGCAGTGGGCGATTATTTGTGGCATCTTCCACAAATCGCCCAAACACGAACCAACAAGACCAACACACACAAACAAGCAACAAGCAGCAGGCGAAACGCGTGTGTGTGTGTGTTTGAGCGGGAGGTGGTAGGTTGCGTTGTTTGTGTGCGTGGCTGGCGCAGGGTTGGTGGAGAGGAGGGAGAGGGTGCGCGTTGTGACGGGCACTCACTGGCGGTTCTGTTGTGGGTGGTCTCGTTTGGTTCCATGGATTTTGTGTTGTGTGGTGGATGATGATGTGATGGTGAACAGGAGCAAGCAGAGAACACGCACAACAGCGGCCACACCATGGATGTGTGCAGGGCCAAAGGCATGCAACGCCTTGCCCACGGTCGGTGAGGCTGACATATGTGCTGCACAGGCCCATGGCACGCTGGCACCGTGAGTTTGGGTGAGTTCTGTCAATTGGTTTGACTGCTGTGTGTGTGCGTGTGATTGTGTGATTGTGTGTGTGAAGGAGGGAGAGAGTGGGACGTGGCTGTGGTGGGTGTTGTGATCTCACACGCACTCCTGCTGCTGTGGATGTATTTGGCTCACACGCACACAGAGAGGGATGATGGGTTGCATCGACCCACACACATGTGTGCGTGAACACACGCACACGCTGACACCCAGCAGTCTGATGCCACCTCACGGTGCGTTGCACTTGCATGCTTGCATGTGACTGTGACTGTGTGCATGTCGTTCATACTGTGTCTGCTTGTGATTCACACTGTGTGTGTGTGTGTGTGTGGTGGCTGCTTGCTTCCCTCTGTCTCACACCTGTGTGTGGATGTGTTGGTGGTGACACACACAGTGAGTGAGTGGGTGTGCAGGCACACATCCCCACACAGCAAGGCAGGCAGGCAGAGCATACTCTTCCTCCTACTCTTCCTCCTCTCTCTCCCTCTCTGCTGCCATCACCGCTGCTGCATGGATGGAACCAGTGGATGCAAGGCATGTTGGATGATGCTGGCTGGCTGATGTCCTTCCCTCGGTGCGTGTGTGTGTGTGTGTGTGTGTGTGTTGCGCTGCTGCTTGCTCTTGTTCCCCCTGTTTTTGTCTGTTGTGTCTGTTGTGCGTTGCTGCTTCGCTGTGTGATTGTGTGTGTTCACCACAACCACGTCGTGTGCGCCCATCACCATCGTCTGTGCTCACGCACCTCCCATCTCTCCTTTTCTTCTCCTTCTTCTTCTGCTCCCTTCCCTCTTCCCTCTTTGTCATCCCCACACGCACATGCACACACATGGACGCTTGTGCAGGGGAAGTGCAGGCTGTTTGTTGGAACCCATGGCAAGGCACGCACAACCAAGCAAGGACACGAGCAAGCAAGGGCACAGGACAAGCAAGCAAGACGTGGGGCTGCCATAGACCACGCACCTCATGGGAGAAGGGGAACGTGAGCGGGTGGTGTTGTGTTGATTGTGCCGTGTTGTGTTGTGTTGTTGTTGTTGACAGCGTGCACGTCTCTCTCTCCTTGTATGCTTCTTCCTTCCTCCCCTTTCCCTTTCTCTCTCTGTTCTCTCTTGCCACAGCATACACACTGCTGCTGCTGCTGCTGTTGTTGTTGTTGGCTGAAGGGATGATGGCGGTTGATGGGGGAGTGAAGCGGTGTGGCGTAGCATGGAGCTGTCGCTTGTTGTTGGGTGTGTGTTGCTTGCAGTTGATATGGGGATGCTTTCTCGCTTGTTCTTGCCACCTGTGCGTGTGTGTGTGTGTTTGCTTGATGTCGTGTTGCTGAAGGGTAGTGGAAACATACAATGCAACACGCATGTGCAGCCGTGTGTATCGTGTGATGCTGCTGGTGGTGGTGGATGGTTGTTGGTGGTTGCAGTGAAGTCAACACAGTGCGTGTGTTGTTGTGATGTGATGGGATTTTTGGCGAGCTGTGCGCGTGGCTGTGGAGTGGGTGTTGCATGCAGGTGAGGACAGCAGCAGGAGCAGCTGTGAATGAGGGGATGTGGGGGAAAGGATGAGGAGAGTGAGTGATGGCAGCGACTTGTAGTGGCGGATGTGAACTGGGCTGATGGTGACGAAGGCGGCAGTGTGGGCTTGATGGGTTTACGATGTGTTGTAACACATGCAGCATGAAACATGAACGAGGCAGGAAAGGTAAGGGAAAGTCAGGGGAAGGAGTGGCGGCACAAAGAAGTGAACAAGGACAAGGGAAGGCACGCAAACACATGGAAACAACAGCAGCAGTGACAGGAATCAAGACAGGAGGGGTGGTGATAGAACGCAGGTGAAATAGACAAGCAAGGCTTGTGGTGACAAGGTGGCGACAGAAAGGGACGAAGGGAAGCACGAATGCACACAGTGGGTTGTATGTGGTGCTGTGTTGTGTTGTGTGAAGTAAAGTGAAGGATGTTGTGTGGAGAGGTGCTGTGTGGTGGTGAGTGGATGGAAGAGAGAAAGAGGGCCAAGGGTGAATGAAGCATGTGGCGACAAGTGCAAAGCAATAATGCAACACGTGGAATGTGGAAAGGCAAAGGGAAGAGAGGAGGAAGCAAGATAGTAAAGGGTGAGACAAAGGGACAAAGCGGCACATGCATGGATGTGGATGTTGTGTTGTGGAGGTGGAGCAAAGGAAGCAGAAGCAGAAGTATTGCAGGCGGTAGCATGCAAGAAGGGAGAAGGTAAAGTGGGAAAAGGAGAAAGCGATTGCAGCGAGCTTCGTACGCACCTGAACACATCGCTGCTGGAGGCGAGAGAGAGGAAGCGCAGGAGATGTTGGAGCGATGTTACTGAATGAAGTGGAGCGGCGTGGAGTGAAGTGGGGCGACAGAGCGGTGTGTGAATGAAAGTGTGGATTGATAAAGGGTCGATTGCAGGTGCGTGCAGGCATGGTGGGCGAAGCAGTGACTCAGTGACGCAGTGGCGAGTGAGTGGGAGGAGTGTTGTGAAGTGAACAAGGTGGAAGCGAGGAAAGTTGTGGGTACTTGCAAGCAACACGCACAGAGCAAGCAAGCGTACGCATGAAGCGTTTACAGCGAGTAGACGGATGTAGTGGAGTGAATCCAATGGAAGTAGGAGAAGTTGTGAGTGTTTGGGAGTAACACAACAATGAATAGACTGAATCCAATGGAAGCAGGAGAAGTTGTGAGTGCTTGTCAGTACGTAGACGGATGCTGTGAAGTGAATCCAATGCAAGCAGGAGAAGTTGTGAGTGTTTGCAGACGGATGTAGTGGAGTGAATCCAATGCAAGCAGGAGAAGTTGTGAGTGTTTGCGAGTGAGTACAGGGATGTGGTGGAGTGAATCCGATGTAAGTAGGAGAAGTTGTGAGTGCTTGCAGGTAACACAACAGTGAGTAGACAGATGAAGTGGAGTGAATCCTATGCAAGTAGGAGATGTTGTGAGTGCTTGCGAGTCACCCAACAGTGAGTAGAGGGATGAAGTGGAGTGAATACAACACGAATAGGAGAAGTTGTGAGTAGTTAGAACAAACAGCAGCACTGCACAATCGCATGCAAGTGTGTCTGCAGCGAGCAATGGTATGTAGTGGAGTGAATCCAATGCAAATAGGAGAAGCTACCAATGCTTGCGGGCAACACAGCAGCAGTGCGCAATCGCGTGCAAGTATGTCTGCAGTGCGTAGAGGGATGCTACTCATCCATTCCACTTTAATCAGAAACACGTTCCCGTGCCTGCAGGCAACGTCTACACACAAACGCATGCATACACACATGCGCATGTGTCCCTTGCGCTGCTCTTCGTCGTTCTCTGCATGCTTGCTTGTCTCTTGTACAATCACATGGAAACGAATCCATCCTCGCTGCTCTACTCCTCAGTTCCTCTGCTTTGCTCCTTCTTGCTTCGGCGACGCGTGCCTGCAGGCAAGTAGAAGTGCGCACAGTGCAGTGTGCTCGCGCGCACGTGTGCCTGCAAGCCAGCCACGTGGTCTTGTCCCTGTTGCTGCAGCTCATAGCATGGTGCAATGACGTTTGCTCGCTTGCTCACTTGATCATCGGAGTAGGGAGACTGGGGCGGTGAAGTCAAAAAGGGGGTGCAGAAAAAGTGCGATCATGTGATAACAAAAAGCTGAACACTGTGATGAGTAGTGTCTGAACACTGCGTCGCGATGCACCAGTGCAGCTGCAGCTGATGTGCAGCGAACGCAAGCGAAGCAAATTGCATGCAAGCATTGGTTGGTCACGGGCCAGGGGAATCTGGGGTGTGAGCAGTGTGAATAATCTTGATGCAGTGAAGCTGTGCGTACTTGCTAGATCCAGTCACAAATCTAGATCTAGCAGATTCGCTGAATCTAGATTGCGGTGCCTGCAGGCAAAGTGCAGGAGGGCAAAGCAGCGATTCAAACAGCTGCCGCTCGATGGATTGGCATACATGAGGGGAAGGATGCAAATGAGCAAGACAAAAAAGGAAAAGAGAAGGCAAAGGCAAAGAGCCGCTGAGTAGAGGCGCAAGCAAGAGAGCAAGGCGAATGTCGCTGAGCAGGATTGCTTGCGGGCACGAAAAGCCGCGTCTGCGCCCTTGCAGCTACAACTTCTCTTTCTCCTTGGGTCTTTGTTCTGCTGTGTTCTGAGCGACCTCTCTCTTCATTTGTGTGTGTGTGTGAAGTGTGTGTGTGTGAGTGCAAGCAAAGCGAAGCGACACTCTTGTGGGTGTTGTGAGCGATGCTTGCACGAGCACACATGCATGCACAGCACATGCAATGAGAACAGCACGGGCGTGTGTATGTGTGTGGATGCTTGAGTGTGTATGATGCGTGAGCGATGTGTGGGTGTGATGAGGCACATGCGGGGAGGCGAGCAAGCGATTGCTCGTGTCTCTGTGTGTGTTCTTGTGATCACTCGCATGTGCAATCGCATCATCTACTACACAGAAGCAAAAGCAACACACAACATGCGCTTGTGGCGAGCAACGACTGTGTTTGCGGAAAGAGGGCGAGCTGATTGTTCAGCTTTCTCTGAGTGTGACAGTGTGAAGCGCTGGTCATTCTCCTCACACAAACACGCATTGTTGGCTCTTGATTGTTATTCTCTCCTCACAGTGATGTGATGCAGCGAGACGCAGGAAGCAAGCCTGCACGCATGGTGCATTGAGACCCGGGCACAGCGATGTGCCTGGCGCGTAGATGACGTGTGTGCGCATGAATGGGCTTGCATTTTCCTTGTGTGTGTAGCTGTGCGTTGGGAGAAGGGCGATGAGCCAATATGTGTTTGTGTGTGGGGGAGTGGCTGGCAGTTGCTTTGCTGCACACGTGGATGTGGCACAGTGAAAAAGAAAACGTTGTCAGCTGTGTGTTGTGGGTGTGGCTGTGGTTGCCTTTGGAGGCAAGATGCAGCCCGCTGTGACATGCGGGTCGATGAAGTATTGCGAGCGAGAGCAAGCAAAGCTTTGCATGGATTGCTGGTGTTGAGCCAAAAGTCTATGATGTTGAAGCAAGTTGCAAGCCGCTGGCGGAGTGACGGCAAGGCACATGTATGTGTGTT